AAAGGACTTAAGAGGACTGATTGCCCACTTGGAAAAGAGGCTTTAATGCCTCAAGTTGCAGTGTTGTTTGATTTGGTGGTGCTTTTCTGAAAGCCCTCTATTCGGCARTTTGAAGAGGGCAGCCTTGTGATGTCTTGAGTTATGAGGCAGGCGCTCCTCAATCTATGGTGATTTTGTTGTGGTTTGTGGTGTGGTGACACCTTGTGGTAAGTGTGTAATCTTTCCCAAGTGTTTCTAAAGTAAAGGCTGATGATTCTTAGTGTTTTCCTTAAAGAAAAAGGTGTATTACAGTAGTTACATGATATTTGACAGTTTGCCTAAAATYGGTGATCTCTTCTCACTCATGGCTTCATCAAATAGTAGCACTAAACCTACAGCAGTTGTGCAATCAGGTCTCATGGGCCAGGTCGATTGAGGTATCTCTCATTGCAAGAGGCAAGTTGAAGTACATCAAGGAGAGTCCATTGAAAAGTGAATCAGAAGGATACAATTAACGGGTACAAGAGATTGCCCAAATTATGATATCCCTTTCRAATAGTATGGAGAATCCCATTAGTGTGAACCATATGTTTCTAGACACGACAAAGGAAATTTGGGACCATAACAAGCAATTGTATTCTGGACAAGACAATGTCACAAGAATTTACCAGTTATACCAAGACTATTTTTCTCTTCAACAAGGGGATAAGTGTTAAAGAATACTATGATTCTCTAAARGGCTTAAGGAACGAGCTTAATGTTTATCAACCCCTATCCACTGTTTTGAAGACTCAACAAGAATAAAGAGACCATCTAGATATGGCAAGATTTTTATCTGGATTGAGGTCTGAATTTGAACCAGTGTGGGCCCAAATCTTAGGGAGCAGTGATCTTTCATCATTGTCTGAGGTTTTCTCCCGCATAAGAGCCTCAAATCCACATAGTGATCATCTCCCACCTTCAGAGAGATCAACCATAATGGTTTCCAAAGGAGGTTTTCTAGGTAGAAATATGTGGTAGAGGTGGAGGTAATGTGAGGGGGTTTTGGCCGTGGGCCCAGAGGTGCACAAGAAGGTGGTAGAGAGGTTGGTGGTGCAAGAGGTGGTGGTCGTGGTTCAGCTTGTTAGTGCTCACATTGTGGATGAGGTCACATAGTCGAATTTTGTCATGATCTTTATGGCCCTCCATCTTCCTASGCTAACCATGCAATGGTGGAAGGTGACTTAGTCTTAGTGTGACTGAAGATGGTCCTRCTTCCAATGTTGATAAGGATAAAGACACAATCCTTATCTCACATGAGGAGTATGAAAAGCTTTGCCAGTTTGTTTGTTCTAGTTCTGTCACTACTACACCTATGAAGTCAGGTACTGCTTGCCTTGTTTCTAGTTCTTCACCTTCACCCTGGGTAATTGATTTTGGAGCCCTAGACTACATGGCTGGCTCCTCAGATATGTTTGTATCATTGTCACCACCTTCTACCTCTCAAACCGTTAGTTTGTTGATGGTTCTTCTTATGCTATTACTAGTACTAGTAATGTGTCTCTTGGTTCTGACCTTAGTTTACGCTTTGCCTTTTATGTTCCCAAGTTCCCCTTTAGTCTCTTGTCTATAAGTAGGCATACTCAAACCCTTCATTGTTCGGTAACATTTTATCCTTCATATTGTGTCTTTCAGGATCTCAAGACAGGGAAAACGATTGGTGGCAGTTGTGAAGTTAGAAGACTGTACTACTTGGATAACCATGATCCTCAGAAGGCTCTTCATTCCTCTCTTACACCACATCAATGGCAYTGTCGTCTTGGTCATCCTTCTCTGCGCATTTTAAAAAAGCAAGTCTCAACTTTGGAGTCTGTAACTCAGCTAGATTATGAGTCATGTTCGTTAAGTAAACATCATAGAGTGTCTTTTGTTTCTAGAGATGATAAGAGAGCCCTGAGTCCTTTTGCTTTAGTCCACTCAAATGTTTGGGGTCCTTATTGGTGTGTCATCTTATAATGGATTCATATATTTTTGTAACATTTATTGATGACTATTCAAAATTGACATGGATTTACTTAATGAAGGACCGTTCAGAATTGTTCTCTATTTATCTATCTTTACATGTTGAGATAAGG